CACGAGTGAAAGAATAGTACCTCTACAGGTATTAAATAACTTCCTATAACTGTCCACCTTCACCCTCCATAGCAAGGTAGACATACAAAACCTTTCTTCATCTCCGAGAATGCCTTCCTAACAAAGCCTTTCGAGTCACTCAGTGTTCCTTATTCCTTGGGGTACTTCTGCAAACAAATGACACCAAAGCAAAAGTATCTCATATCACCAGGGTAGAAAGCAAGAGTATCTCATATCATGCTTTCTCCCTGTCCTTTCTTTTATCCTTGTTCTTACCTGCAAAGACAAGGATAAAGAAAACAATATGCCGGAACCTCCACTCAAACTTGGGTAAGGAATTGACTACCTGAAACCTTTGCTTGGTTGCTTATCTGGCATTGCTCTCGAGTACTCGTCTTCAGCTGTTGATGTACTTCCGAAGAAGATGTCACATTTGCCTGGAGAACAGATAAGGCAAGTGAAAATGATACCTTGCAGCATGTGGAGACAACGTGTAGAAGAAACAAGCAGAGAAGAATGTAGCCTGCACAGTCAACTCAGCAGAAGGAGTCTAAGTTGAGGAACTCAAGAAGCTGCCACATCTGCCTGGAGAACAAATAAGGAAATGACATGCACAATCAACTCAGTAGAAGGAGTCCGAGTTGAAAAATTAGAGAGAAGAAGGGGTCTGAGTTGAATCCAAGAGCTCGAGAAGCTTCAACAACATATTGATGGCACCATTGCGAAAGAGCAAAGCCTCGCTGTCAAATCGCCACCATTTCTTCGAAAGCAAGAGTATTTCATATCATGCTTTCTCCCTGTCCTTTTCTTTGTCCTTGTTCTTACCTGCGGGACAAGGAGAAAGAAAGCAATCAACCAGCACTTGGTATCAATCTTTCGATTTGGAACCGACTGCTTAGAACCCTTCCCTGATTGCTTACCTAGCACTTCTCTCGAAGTACCCATTATCTCAACATCTTATGCTTCCAGAGAAGATACCACATCTGCCAGAAGAACAGATAAGGCAAGGGAAAATGATACATTGAAACATGTGGAGACAAGCACAACAAAGCACGTGTCGATTCATCTGCTACTTCTTCAAAATCAAAAGTATCTCATATCATCAGGGTTGCAATCACTCTGGGTGGAGGACTCCGTTTGACCCTCAAATTTTTGGGTCGACTCGCTAGGTGTTGTGGGCTGCACGTGCCGATTCACCACCCTTGAATCAAATCCTTAAAGATCAAGTCATCAACTGGAAGAAGAGCCCATCAATCTTGAAGATCATACCGTTGACCAAACTGCTCAGGTGTGAATTAGAAAGATTGAACAAAGCAAAAAGTCGTCACCTTCACCTCGTGCCTGCTTGCCATGTGTTCGAGTCAACCTTCAAGAATCAAGCCTCAGCGGCCCTTGAAAAAACTTCTAGCCAAATTCAAGATCAAGCCTCAACGGCCCTTGAGGAAATCACAAGTCCGATTCAAGATCAAGCGACCACCACCCTTGAATCAAATCCAGTTCAAGAATAAGCTGAGGAAAGTCAACAATTGGAGGAATCCAGAAAATCCTCCAACCCAGTTCAAGATCAAAGCTGTGGAAAGTCAACAAGCGCAAAAAAAAAAAAAAAAAAAAACAAATACGTGCCAATTCATCCACAATCAAAGCCCAAGATCATCTACCACATGAAGCTCCTTGTGGTCCAATTTAAACATTCAAGATCAAGCCCCAACGGCCCTTGAACAAACTTTCAGCCTAATTCAAGATCAAGCCTCAACGACCCTTGAAGAAATCTCCAGCCCAATTCAAAATCAAGCCTCGATGACCCTTAGATCGACATCTACAAACACATGTATACGACGCGCCTTGAAGTGGGGGCATTTGTAGACATCGAAATTTTGGTAAATAAATGTTGACCGATAAATCAAAATTTCAACGTTCACGTGTCACATAAATTTTACATGTAGCGTGTGACTCAACGAAAAATCGAAAAGAGTCGGAAAAGTCATCAAACATGACACGTGTCAACACCTGGCAGAAACGATTTATTTCATCTGCATATTATATTCAAAATTAGGCCTTGAAAAATTCTATAAATAGGAAGCCAATGCATTCATTTGGGGGGGGGGGAATTCATAACCAATTCATAAACAATTCCTAACCAATTCATATTACACCAAAACCTTGAAGCTCTGAAGCTCTGAAGCTCTGAAACTCCGAAGCTCTCAAGCATCCAGGTTCCCGAAGAATCAAGAAAGCCCTCTTCGTTCTTCGTTCATCGTTCTTCCAAGATCAAGCCCCGACGGCCCCTTGGATCAACAATCATCCATCTTCAAGATCAAGCCCCGACGACCCTTTGAAGAACTTCCACCAATTCAAGATCAAGCCCCAAAGGTCCCTTTGAAGAAACTTCCAACCATTCATCCGAGATCAAGCCCCAACAGCCCTTTGGATCAACAACATCAACAAATCCACACATCCAACTGGTTCTTCAAGATCAAGCCCAAAAGCCCTTGAAGATCTGTTCATCACCGTTATTCAAGATCAAGCCTCAACGGCCTTTGAGGAAATGCTCATCCTCAAGATCAAGCCCCAACGGCTCCTTGAAGATTTGCTCAAATCTACCTTCAAGATCAAGGCCACGACCCTTGAAAAACGTTCATCCTTAGATCAAGCCCAACGACCCTTTGGATCAATCGCACATCCACAAATCAACACCTTATGAAGATCAAATCAGAGGATCAAATTTAAGAGAGATTGTAACCCAAAATCATCAAATACAAATATTATTTTGTACACGTGTTCTTGTCTCGTTTGTTTCAGGAAAATTCCGTGTTTACAGACCAATATACTAATAACGGACTAAATGAATTGCAGTACCTATATAATCAATTACAACCATTAAATCGTGATTTTTCATTAATAATCTTCGAAAAGTTTTGTCCCTTTACTTGATCTCAAAATGTTTGTTTTTTGCAATTTTTGGCGTATGAGATATTGAAGTATATACAAACATGTTTGACGGTTGGATCGTTGAAACTAGTTTCGTAGAATGCGTATCCCATCAAAACAATGGATTCACTAACACTTAAGAATTTATTCATACTTTCATTAAGTATAACATAAGATTTTGTGGTATCCACTAGTGTAAATATTTTAAATTGAGATCGAGTTCATTCATTGTATTCATATAGGGTCAAGGAGTGTAGTTGTAAAAAATCATCAAAATTGAAGTTAAAATAACCGTTAAATCGTGATATTTCGTTGATAATCGTCGAAAAGTTTTGTCCCATTACTTGATCTCTGAATGTTTGTTTTTTGCGATTTTTGGCGTATGCGATCTCGAAGTATAAACAAACATGTTTGACGGTTAGATTATTGAAACTAGTTTCGTAAAATGCATATCCCATCAAAACAACTGATTCACTAACACTTGAGAGTTTATTAATACTTTCATTAAGTATAACATAAGATTTTGTGGTATCCACTAGTGTAAATATTTTAAATTGAAGAATGAGTTTATCCATTGTATTCCTATAGGGTCAAGGAGTGTAGTTGTAAAAAATCATCAAAATCGGAGTGAAAATAACCATTAAATCGTGATTTTTCGTTGACAACCGCCGAAAAGTTTTATCCCGTTACTTGATCTCTGAATGTTTGTTTTTTCTGAATTTTGGCGTATGCGATCTTGAAGCACATACAAACATGTTTGACGGTTGGATTGTTGAAACTAGTTTCGTAGAATGTGTATCCCATCAAAACAATAGATTCACTAACACTTAAGAATTTATTCATACTTTCATTAAGTATAACACTAGTGTAAATATTTTAAATTGAAGATCGAGTCCATTCATTGTATTCATATAGGGTCAAGGAGTGTAGTTGTAAAAAATCATCAAAATCGGAGTTAAAATAACCGTTAAATCGTGATTTTTCGTTGACAACCATTGAAAAGTTTTGTCCCGTTACTTGATCTCTGAATGTTTGTTTTTTGCGATTTTTAGCATATGCGATCTTGAAGTATATACAAACAAGTTTGACAGTTGGATCGTTGAAATTAGTTTTGTAGAATGCGTATCTCATCAAAACGATAGATTTACTGACACTGAAGTTTATTTATAATTTCATTACGTATAACACACTAGTGTAAATATTTTAAATTGAAGATCGAGTTCATCCATTGTATTCATATAGGATCAAGGAGTGTAGTTGTATAAAATCATCAAAATCGAAGTCAAAATAACCGTTCAATCGTGATTTTTCATTGATAACTGTCGAAAAGTTTTGTCTCGTTACTTGATCTCTGAATGTTTGTTTTTTGCGATTTTTTGCAAATGTGATCTTGAAGCATATACAAACAAGATTGACGGTTGGATCGTTGAAATTAGTTTCATAGAATTCGTATCCCATCAAGTTCAATGGTGTGTGTATATATATATTTATTTATTTATTAAGTAAATTTAAATTTATTTATTTTGTACGTATAACACTTAAGAAATTGAATGGTTTGTATATTGAAGCCGATCCAATGGTCACCAATTTTTAATATTTAATTTAATATATATAATTATTATAGTTTTTAGGGGTATAAAATTGTTAAATTAATATATAATTATTATAGTATTTTTTTAGGGTTATAAATTATAAAATTAATATTTTGCTTATCGTGTATCATGTTACCCATGTGTATATCCGAACCAACCCGTTATCTTAACAGGTGCTTATCGAGTTATCCGATCACGACCCGATTCGTTATTGTATCGACCTGAACACCTGTTAATTTCGTGTCGTGTCGTGTCAGGAATTGCCAGGCCTACCTCTAATACCATCTTAAGAAACCAAAGTAGGGCTAAAGTTTGAATAGAGAAATGGCTAGAGTTTGAATGAATAATAGAGAGTTGAATGATGATTTTCTGATTGTTCTCATCGTCAAGTATAATACACACACACACACACACACAAGGCTAAGAATCTGTGATTCACTTTTGGTGGGATTTGATCTTATACTAAATGAGGAAAGTATATATTAGAATAATAATACAATAAATGTATTTGTCTATGCGGAATATACACCAACACACACACATATCATTCGGAAATGAATTTGAGGGCATGTGTATAGTAGAGTACACCAATATCACTTGTGACCAAATCTAAACATCTTTTTTGGTCAAGGAAAGTTATTTAATTACATACGAACAGTAACGTTTACATGTCATGCTAAAATATTAGAGAATCAGATTAGCTCAAAATCATCCCACCTACGATATCCGCCATTACTCAAAGATACATATATACATTATTACATTATTGTCATCTGTTATTTACTTAACTTCTAAGATAAAATATATTTTCGAAGGAAAAAAAATGACTTTTGAAAGCGGTTCAGAGAGAGGAAGGGTTGGTTACTAGCCGAGAGAGAGAGAGAGAGAGAGAGAGAGAGAGAGAGAGAGGAGTTGAGGGTTTTTTTCTAACAGGTTCGCAAATATAAAATGGCTGATCTGATGGTTTCCTCCCTGGCCTCTTCTTGAGATGTTAATATACATGCACCTATAAGATGGTGCTCAGGAGAGTTGGCAAAACATCGCGTCTAAGCTTGAGTTGATCCTCACTATTCAGGAATTTAGGGAGCCACTTGGCAGAAACTTTAGGAATGCGCTTGAGATTGTCTTTGTGATCGACATAGTAAAGACCGAATTTCTGGGTAAAGCCGTAGGACCATTCAAAGTTATCGAATGGTGTCCAGATGAAATATCCTTTCACGTTCACGCCCTTGTCTATTGCCTTCTTTAGCCAAAACAAGTGCCTGAGAATACTTTGAATCCTATGTGGATCCTTTAGTGCTCCGTCAAGCCCGTTGCTCTCCTCCTCCACCTCACTGATTCCGTTTTCAGAAATGTAGATTTTAGGGCTTTGATAATTTTGTTTTATGAACACCAAAAGTTTCTCCAAACCTTGTGGATAAGTATAGATGACTGAACCTATGTGAGCATGAGGACCAATTTCATCTCCATCCGCATTTTCAACCAATGACGAAGCCGAAGCATCGTTGTGGTAGCACATTGGTTCATTTGAACTGATTGTTGGGTTGCTTTTACCATACCTTGAAGTATAGTAATTGATCCCAATAAAATCAAAAGATCCCTTGACCAATTTATTCTCTTCTTTGGTGAACTTGGGCAGTCTTTTCTTCACCAAAGTTCTCATACTTTTCGGATAAACGCCATACACTAATGGTTCCATGTACCATCCAAGTTTAAAGTCCAATATTCGTCTCGCTGCTGCTTTGTCTTCTGGTGATTCTGAATGAGGCTCGACATAGTCCCCTACAAGACTAATTCCAATTTGTCCGCCTTGTTCTTGTTGAAACTTTTCTCGATAGAGTTTAACAGCTGTGGCATGGGCGAGAAGAATGTTGTGGCTCACAATATAAGGCTCAGTAGCTGAATTTCCACTTGTACATGGAACAATTGATGGCACCGAACACCTTCCTGGTGGAGCAATCCCACGATCATACCCCATTTCGGCAATTATATGCGGTTCATTGATTGTAATCCAGTTTTTGACCCTATCTCCAAAGTGTTTGAAACAAATTTCACAATAATCTGTGAAATCTTTCACGAAAGAACGATTTAAAAGGCCTCCATACTTGTCCTCTAAGGCTTGCGGTGAGTCAAAGTGGAATATGGTCACATAGGGTGTGATGCCATTCTTGATAACTTCATCAATCAGGTTATTGTAGTAATCGATACCTGCTTGGTTTATTCCTCCACTCAAGGTTCCATTAGGAAGAATCCTAGTCCATGAGATGGAGAGCCTGTAGAAATCGACTCCGAGGTCTTTTATAGCCTTCACATCTTCCTTGTAACGATTATATGAATCGATGGCGATCAACAAGTTAGAGTGGTCAGAAATCATTTCTGGATTTTGCTCAATGAAGTTGTCCCAAACACTGGGTCCTCTTCCTGCTTCATATGCTGAGCCCTCTATTTGTCCGGCAGAAGTAGAGACCCCGAACACAAAATCTGTAGGGAAGTCAGATCTCTTGACTTCCAACTCTTCAGGGTGCAATGCATTGTGCAAATAATCCTCCATATGAGCATTATTCACAGGAAACTGTGACAAAAATGAAACCAAAGAAATGGCATACATCCCTTGGAAAATCCATAACAACGATGGTGATGATGATGCCATGAACAAAAATGGTGGATTAGTAAATCCTTTGATTAGTGAATATTTGTCTGGTTAATTGAAAGTTAATTAAACAAGGGAAAGCTTCAAGCTTCATGAACCCTAAAAAGGATTGTTCCTATTTAACAAGAATGATTAAGTAACTGACGAATATGGTCGGTGGTAACTAGGCAAACCACCATTTTTTTCTGCAAGTTAGAGCATGTTTTTTTATGGATCACCACCATAGTAGGAGTTCCAAATACAGGCGGTAACTAATAAATCAATATAGGATGGCTATATAAGCAGTTCCAAATTAATCAACTCATTAATTGAGTGGTGTTCAAGACTAAGGGGGCATCATTTGCGGTAAAAAAAAAAAAAAAAAAATTATTTTTTCATCCTTCACATAACTCAGGGTTCTTTCCCATTTTAGTATCTTCATAATCTGTGCTTCAAACTACACTTCCGTTTAAAACTTTTTCTTCCTAAATTGCATTGTGAGTAGACTCAACATTTCTCAATAATGTTGATATTTGAGAAGCAGTGTCATATATTCACTTAGTTATATTCAATGTTCTAAAAGATGTTAGGCGCTATTCAGGCGGCGAGCTGAGGCCTAGTGCCTGCCTAGGCGGACAATCCGGATTTAAGTAAATATAATACAAATGAATTGAATGTTACATATAATATGTAATGTAATGCTTAAATAATACATATGCAATGTTTGAGTTTAAATACATAATAATATAAATGGTCTTAAAAGACAAAAAGAATAAAAAAAATAATACAAAAAATAGATAAAAAAAAAGAATAAAAAGTGCCGATTGATTTAAGAGAGAAAAGAAATAAAAGATTGTAAAAGTTAGTAAAAAGAGTTAGTGGAAAAGAATATAAATTAGTGAATTGGGTTATTGGAAACACTAATGGCAAGAAACGTGCAACCAAAATAGAGATTGTGGGACCATGAAGAAATAATACGAGTGTATTTTTGCTAACTACCGTGAAGTGCACCACCTTTTTTTAACCGTTAGATGAGTTTGAATTTTTAGATTTGCGTCTATTCACTATACGAATTTTGAAATTCAAACTCATCTAATGGTGATAAACAAGGTGGTGAGCAAAAATGCTCCCAAATAATGCCGTCATTTAAATTGAAAAAGAAGATGTGGTCCCCACATGTCCATCTTCTTCCTCCCAACTCTGCAACTCTTTTATTCCAAATTCTTAATATTTTCTAGATTTCGGTGACTTAACATATAGCCACCTAAACCTACCTAAGCTTGTCTAGCCTCCGCCCAGCCTCGTCTAGACCTGCAAATTGCCGCCTAGCCTTGCCTAATCCTGCTCAAGTGGCTGCCTAATATGTTTACTGATTTTACGATCGATTAGGAGTTACCACAGCAGTCGGTCATCGTCTAGCACCTAGGCACAGCCTAGGCTGATTTTTAGAACATTGGTTATATTACAATTAAAACAATAACTTTTTTTTTTGCAATTGACATGCACATGCATATCCTTAGGTGAAATGATAAAAACATTATGAGCCTGTTTTGGCCTGGAATAAAGGTTTGGGTCAAAAATGGATAACAGAACGTTGATTCGACTGAGTCTCTATAGAAGTAGGACTATTACATTATGTTTGGATGAAGGAAATAAACTTGGAATTTGGATTAAAATCGGAATTTATAAATTGACATGTACCAATTCCCTTGTTTGGATTCATAAATATAGAAATTTAGAATTTCCGCGTGGAAAAAAATTTGGAACTTGGGACCACCAATTCCCAAGTTTAAATTCTATGTAAATAGGTATCATTTTCCAATTTCTATGATTGAGAGTTTAAAAATAACAAATTCTGTATTCAATTCTATTGGTCTTTTAAATTAACCAAACAAGAAAATTCACAAATTCTAGGAAATAAAATCTCGACATTTCAATTTCTGTCATTTTAAAATTCCTTAGTAAACTTTAATTTCTTTATTCAAACATAGTGTTATAGGATCCAACTTAACCGTGGATCACTCGTGTCCTAAGCGAATTAAAATTACCAAGGATCATGATGGGTTTGGATATGATTCAAACTATTCTAGGGATCAAAATTTATGTTTGACCAGATAAGGATGATTCAAGTGCACAAAGGGACTAGGTTTAGAATTCTGGTACAAGTCAAAGAGGCTGAGACTGCATAGAGAATGAGTTTCGCCTAAGGAAGTGAATATTGGGATAAAGAGGAAATATTCAGGTAAATGCCAAGTAGGCATAGTCCTATCAGGACTCTAGCTTGGCAGACTTGTTTATCACGAAGTCCACCTTATAAATAGAAGAGGTTCTACAACATGGAAATGCCTTCAAATCAACAAACAACTCAAAATGCTTTACGCGAAAACTCTTGCTCTAGTCGAAATCCTTCTCACAACCCTGAGAAAAATACTATCCTAATTTTCTCGTGAACATATCTTCAATTTGGATAAGTAACAACACTGGATAGTAAAATTAGGCGATTTTAAAGAATCTTCAGTTTGGACAAGTAAACAATACTAGTTGGTTGGTTATCTATCCAAGTCTCGACAAGCAAAGAGTTTTCAATTCTTTCGCCTAAAGGGGTCACTTCATTAGCTTTTCAATGAAGTGAGGTGTTACTAGGTCACTTCGTGTTTGACACGTTAAAACCCGAGACACTTATCGAACTTCGTAGCGAAAAGCAACCTTGTCTTCAAGTTAGTAGAACCCCAAGCTAATAGGTGTTCCTGATAGGAGCATATTTATGCGACTTAGTTGGCTTGTTCTTGTGCATTTATGTCGTGTTTCCTTAGTTATTTTAATGTTTAAAGTCATTTTCATGTGTTTTCAGATTTTATGGACAAAGTAGGCAAGAAGATGCATTTTGGAGCATTTTGGAGCAAAATGGAGCTTGGAATGCATGTCACATATTTGGGCCAAAGTGGATGGACGAATTTGAGAACTAAAGAGGCCAAGAATGTGAAGAATTATGGTCCAAAAGATGAAGAACTCAGCCCAAAAATTTGTCACCCCAACTTGCCTTCATTGCCATGCAAAACAACATAGAATTCCCTTTGGATTCCCATGCCATGCTTGATCACTCTTGTCCCCTACATAATTTCTGATTTCATGCTTCAATTCATTTAATTATTACACTTAATTGCTTGATACCTCTTGTTCCCTTCACCCACAAAAATTTTATACAACTTTCACAACCATAACATGCACCAATTGATGCTCCATCATTCACATTTGGAATCCCATGCCTTGTGTACCACATGTTGCTGCACCTTTGACCCATTTATTGACACATTTTCACCTCCCTTTCCATCTCTATGCAATGTACACAATCATTCATGCTCCCTAGCTACAAGACCACTCCATTTTACCCTTCACACTTTGCATCATCACTTCATTTTCACCCTTGGACCATTGCACACCACATACACTCTTTGCCTTGCATTCTCCCTAGCCTAACCTGATTCTCTAAGGTTTTTGGGGCCTATATATACATGTTTACACCCCTTGGCAAAGGGTTCACACTCTCATATTCACCATTCATCACAGAAATTCGTCCATACTCACCCTAGGTAGCAAAACACCCCAAAAACACCATTCTAGTGCCTAGAAAACATAACAGCCACTCCACCTTCTTCCACCCTCTTTGCCTAGCTCTCCACCACCCTCAAACACTCCTCCACACTTACCCTAAACCTTTCCATACCATTCCCCATCCATTCTACATCATAAAAACTACCCAAAAATCCGTCCACAAAAGCAATCTGCCCGCTTGCAAACAAGCAAAGGAAGAATTCTTGGATGCACTTGCTACCCAAGTTGGAGTGCATTTTTTTAGGTGTTTTCTTTCCTTTAATTTTTAATGTCTAAATTTTATGTATCTTTGCTTTGTGAGTATGAGGAACTAAATCCCTCTTAGTTAGGGGGTGATTCGAAACCATGTTCATACTTGCAATATGATTTGATTACATCCAGTTGTGATTCATAAGTTGTGAATTCAATTTACTTATCCGATCGTATAAAAAATGATTTGTGTATGTTGGTTGAGAGTGCACACTTAATTTTCATGCATGAATTTAACGCTAGAATATAAAGGAGTTTCACCTAATCGTTATGAACTTATATTCACAAGTAGTGAAGGTTGCTAGTCACAATCACGTTAAGTAAATTCTTGGCATAAGTTTCATGCAAATCATAGTAACGAGTGCCTCGTCAATGCTTATGTTTTTCATAGAACTTAATGATTCTTGCTTGTATCTCTATTATGCAATTCATGTAGGGAACTTGTAGGGAATGTTTTGGGTTGTCGTATGCAATCATCCAACCCAATAACTTGTGGAAACACTGAGGGTTAATTAGTGCAATTCACGGTTAATTTGGGGCGTTGAGTATTCATAGCTTATCGAAAAGCAACTGGAAATCGTTTTGTATGCAAGTGTGACATGTGTGGAGAAGAACCTCCTAGCTAGCCTTTCATCCGTAAGTTTCATTCAAATTCATTTTACAATCTGTTTTGATTCACTTAAATTTGTCTAAGAATTTGTTTACTTTGTTCTTGTCTTAATTTAATTATTTTCGTCCAAAATCAACCCCATCTTATTTCTTTGAGTAATATTAATTAGAACTTGTCTTAGATTATGTTTTTAAGTGTTTTAGTTCATTAGAAAACCAAAATTCGTCCAACTTTGTGTTAGAGTCCCAAAACTGCCCAGATTGTGTGTTTAAGGTAGTTTTGAGTGTTTAGGGGCTGTTTTGAGTCTTTTGGTTGTTAGTGTTTTAAAGTATAGTTTTGCATTCTTTGAGTCTAGTTAGTGTTTTAAACTTTGTTTTTACGTTTTCAAGTCAGTTTCCAAGTGATTTAGCAATCCCTCCTAATCCTCGGCCTAGAACGATCCCTACTTACATACTTTACTACAATTGATAAAAAGAGGGTTTAATTTGTGTGCTTATATATTTCGCATCAGTTCCTTCCTTGGTCATAGTTGCTCAGGTGCAAATTTCAATTGTGCATTCAACACATCACCACATCTATTTTACTTGCTTGACTGAGCTCAATTACGAATTTGCACGCCCGCATTCAGCAAAAAAAGGTAACTAACTAAATAATTACTCAACATACACACCATGGCTTATTAATTTTAGGGTAACAAAGCCACATCTTTCACCTATGGATGTTGTGCGTTATGCGAACGTGCAAAGTACGTAGCGAATAATGTACCAACATAGT